TTCCTCCCTGCCAAGATCATTTATACCTTTTTGTTATACAATAAGACAGTTACACTTATTATTTATTATTATACAAATAATGCTTGTTATACTCAAAATAATTAAGCAAATTGACCCAGTGATGAGAATCTTCTTTTCTTGATGTTGAAAGCTATAGTCCTTGATTGTCTGCTGCAGATCCTTTTGGCCCTCCTCAGTTTCAGCAAGTAAGGTTGTGTCATCTGCATAACGCAGATGTTTGATGAATCTTCACCAGTCTTGATGCCCCATTCCTCCTCATAAATTCCAGCCTCTCAAATGATCTCAAATGACACATCCCTAAGACACTCCTTTTCAGATTTTGAACCATGCAGTGTTTCCTAGCTTTGTTCTGACGACTGCTTCCTAGTCCAGATACAGATTTCACATGAGCACAATTAAGTGTTTTGGGATTCCCATTCTTCTGAAGGTCAGTAGCAGTTTGTTGTGAGTCATGCAGTCAAATGCCTTTGTTTAGTCCATGAAATACAGATGATCGTCTCTTCTGGGTAAAATGCTTGTCCGCCAGATACTGCTCTAAGTTGATCTAAAATAAGGCAGATGAGGGAGAAGGATTGGCCATCCACTACCGAAACAACAGCCTTCAGAAAACCCCCTGCACAGTAGAGCACTTTTTGTATTGTAGGTAGCCTTGTCTACTTAAACAATTCTGTGAAATTCAGTTCCATGACATTTGCTATTTTCATCATGTATGTGATCATCTGTTCCTCGTTTATTATCGACTGTCTCATTATGCAACAGTTTGCATTAATAATAAATACTGTTTTGTACATTAGCCCCAGTACAGGGTCTGAGATTCCTCAAAGGCCATGAGGTGTTCAGTCTATAGTAAACCTGCCTGCCCTGTTAGGGCTCAGTGTACCACCTGTGGGGCAGGAGCTTGCCTGGCTTTTCCCCTTATAGCTGAGCATTGATTGGCTGCTCAGTGAGTGGTTGGGTTGTACTGACTTTAGGAAGCTGGTAGCCCAAGACAGGCTGTTAGTCACTAAACTAAAGGTGGTAGTTCGCATCCTCTCAGTGGTACCATAGAAAAAAGCCTGGAGATTGTCTTCTTTAAAGAAGGTAGCCAAGAAAACCCTATAGAGAGCAGTTGTATTCTGTAAATACATAAGGTTTGCCGTGCATTAGGATCTGATCCATGGCAGCAGGATTCCTATGAGACTTCTTGAATTTTTGTAGAACTGCACTAGCAAGACAGAGGCACATGGTTCGCTGCTCAGTGGAAGAACAACTAGCCATCTTCTCATTGCAATTTAATGACCCTCAAAAACTGCTCGAGGCAGTTTTGAGTTGGCTCTGACACCAGGGCAACAGAAACATCTGTAAATTGGAATAAAAGGGGGAGGGGGAAAAAGAATGAGAATAAATGTAATTCAGAAACCTAACAGCGGGGAACAACAGAAAGCAAAACATAGTTTGTGGGAAAGTGATGTATAAAATAGAGTGAAGGAAGGCTTGGTAAGAGGATATGAAGCAATTCCTTATGGAACTCCAATTAGTAGGTGTTCTCCATTCTCAGCATTTCTGGTATCTTTAAGGGAAAACTTTGCAATCCAACATATATGTAGTGTTACCTTCTCAAAAAAACCCCACTTGAGTTGCAAAGCAGGTTGTATTAGTTGAGATGGTGTGTGTGTGGTTTAGCAGTTATTATATTGATGTGATTTTGCCCTTTATATGATGGTTATTGTCCTGTTTTGTGATTGGATGTGGTCATGTTCCATTTTCTAATTTCCCCACAAGAACCTGGTATATCCACTTTCAAATTAGTCCATTACATTTTCAACTAAGTACTATAACTAAATTTTATACCAGCAACTGTCTCGTGGCTTCATGCGTAAGGAAGATGGTTTGAACTCACTAACTGCTCCAAGGGAGAAAGGTGGGCAACCTTCTTTGATGCTGCTAATTAGTTCTAACTACACGACAATGTGTTTTGAGGGTTTTTTGATTGGTAAAACCAATCTTTAATCAACTTGGTGTGTGTCTCATGTAATTGTCTTTCTTTTTTTATTTTAAAATTTTGTGTGTGTGTCTCCTCAAATCATATCTGCCTGGTACAGGAGATGATTACCTCTTCTTCTCCAGCAGAGCGTCTAATGGATTCGAACCTCATACCTCTGTGTAGCAGTGCAGATTCTTGCCACCAGAGCTCCCTGTAATTATCTTCCTAATGCAGAAAATGGTTACAGTTTTGTGTTTTTGTTGTTGTTGTTGTTGTTGTTGTTGTTGTTGTTGTTGTTGTTTTTTCCCATTACCTCTACTATGACAGAGCACCACAGTAGACAGAATTTTTCTTCTCTTCTCTGGTTTTAGTCCTGTCCTTATTTTTCCTTAAGATTCATAGTCATTGTTCATTTTTGCTTAAGGAAAAATTTTTGTGACACTTAAAGCCTTTAAGCCATGTGAGTTTATCCTTTAAATACCTTTTAGGGGATCTAGCACCTATGTCCCCCCCATAAGTTGATGAAGTCATTTCACAGATAAAACTATTACTAATGTCTGAGTTAGTCGGAGGTGATGTAGAGTCTGAGCTGGGATTGACAGAAGCGGGGCAGGTGGAGGCCATGGGCACGGATTACTACCAGACGCTGGGCCTGGCCTGTGACACCTCGGACAAGGAGACCAAGCAGGCTTAATGCTGCCAGGTGCTGCGCTACCACCCAGACAAGAACACAAGGAGCCCGACACCAAGGAAAAGTTTAAGGACATCGCCTACAATGACATGCTCAGCGACCCGCACAAGCGTGAGATTTTCAGCCACTACCAGGAGGAAATCCTAAAGGGTGGCAGTCCCCATGTCGGGAGCAGTGGTGGTGCTAACAGGACCTCTTTCAGCTACACATTCCATGGAGACCCTCATGCTATATGTTTGCTGAGTTCTTTGGTGGCTGTAATCCTTTTGATAACTTTTTTTGGCAATGAGATGAGGAAGAAGGCATGGCATCAGTGACCTCATTTTCTGGCTTCCTTATGTGCATGAGGGTCTCACCAACTTGAACTTTGCCTGCTTTTGTGCCACCCAGCAGCCCACCTGAAAGATGCAAGACCCGTCCCACATGACCTTAGGGTCTTGCTTGAAAAGATTTACAGCGGCTGCACAAAGAAAATCGCCCACAAGCAGCTGAACCCCTGGCGGAAAGAGCATTCACAAGGAAGACAGGCTTTTGACCATTGAAGTGAAGAGGGGGTGGGAGAGAAGGGACCAAAATCACCTTTCCTAAGGGAAGGAAACCAGACCAAACAACATTCCAACAGCATCTTAAAAGGAGACAGCTCTGATGTCATTTACCCAGACAGGATCAGCCTTCAGGAGGCTCTGTGTGGCTGCAAGGTGAAAGTCCCCACTCTGGACAGCAGGACCATACCCATCATGTTGAAAGATGTTACCAGGCCTGGCATGCGATGAAAAGTACCTGGAGAAGGCCTCCCCTCCCCAAAATGCCTGAGAAATGCGGGGACCTAATTACTGAGTTGGAAGTGTTTTTCCTATATAGCCACCTGCATTCCCCAAGGACTTACCAGGGACCTTTAAGATCTCAAGAATTTCGAGGTCATTCCATCAGTGCAGGCCCACCAAAGGGCGGGAGGGCTTTCATACTGCTGAATGTTTTCCAGAGAACATACTACAATCTTTCAAAGTTTAAAAAAAATTAAAAATTGTTTGGAACTAACTGTAGGGAATATTGAGTGATTTGTTTGGAGATTGGTACTGATGACAGTAATTAGGTTTTAAAAGACGTTTGGATCTCTAAACCTAGCTAGTATAAACACAAATTCTATTTCTTGCCTAAAGATAATCCACTTGGACTTGCCTCATACTGTGTAATAGAGGAATATTAGTTTAAAAAACCTTTTTAACCTAAACAGAGGCTTTATGTAAACAGGAAGATTACAGTGATGATTTGATAGCAAGTTTGGTTTTATGCGAATAAGAGAGCAATATAGTATTGTTTTTTTTCCATTAAATCATCTACAGATATTTTTAGAACATTAATTACAATTGATTTAACGTAATTATATGCCTGGTCAACCCCTTACTGTATATTTCCTTGCCTTTCATTCGGCTGATCAGTTTTTATTCTCTCAGATTCCAGAGTTTGTGCATAAACCACCTCTTTTTTAATATAGTGTTCTGAATCATAATTGACTTTTATGACTGGCTTGTCAGCATATTTGAGTTTATCCACATTGTGCAGTATTTCTTGAATTCTTGCTCATTATTTAGTTATGGATTATACTCTTGTTTGATTGTATTAAGTTTCTCTAGTTACTCATATGTTGAACACTGAGGTTTCCAACTCTTACTTAAAGTTACAATGCAGTAAACATGAGTGTGTGTTATCTTGTGGTCATGCTCTTTATTTGAGACAAATACATACCTGTGGGATGGGATTTCTGAATCCAGTTTGTAGTCCCAATTTTAAATGGAAGCAGTGAACGGCTTTCTATAGTGGTTTTACTATTTTCTATTCCTACCAGTAGTGTCTGGGAGTTCTAATCTCTCTGTACCTTTGCCACCATTTGTTGTATCCTATCTTATTAATTAATATGAATTATTTAATACGGATTACATCTCTACATGAAGAAAACAAAACTCGTTCCCCACTGGACCAATAGGCAATATCATGATAGATGAAGAAAGAATTGAAGTTGTCAGTGGTTCTTAAGACTGGAGAAATCTTTTTGTGCACATAAGAGTTTGGTTTTACTTAACTCATCTCTTGATTAAGGTTGCAGTGTATTTTTGTGTCATGAAATGTTTTTAAAAGGAGTAACTTGGCTTATTCCTTAATACAAATGAGCTTTTTAAAAATATGTCTGATAGTGTGTTTTCTAGACACAGTTTCTGCGTATTGGAAAATAAATCACTAAAGAATTGTTTTCCTGACTTAAGTGAATTTTCATTGCTAAAATAGAAATAATTTATTAAAAAATTCTGTTTCTCTTTTCTCCAATAGGATGTACAGCTACCCAGCACGTGTTCCTCCTCCTCCTCCTATTGCTCGGGCTGTTGTGCCCTCAAAACGCCAGCGTGTATCAGGAAACACTTCACGAAGGGGCAAGAGTGGCTTCAATTCTAAGAGTGGACAGCGAGGATCTTCATCAAAATCATCGAAGT